TTGGTTGGACAAAACCACTGGTTCTCAACCCTGACTCTGCATTAGGATCTTCTGGGGAAGTTCTTAAAACATATGAATGCTTGTTTCATAGACACACACACACATCTATGACACATAAATGCATGCATGTGAAAAGGGTGAAAACGGCATAAGACCTGTAGTCTAGTTAACAGCATTGTACCAATGTCACCTTCCTGATTTTGCTATTGTACTGTAGTTATTTAAGATGTCAGGCACCAGGGAGGGCAGCTCTGTGAAGGGTACATAGGACTTTAAGTACTAATTTTGCAACTTCCTGTAATTTTAAAATATGGAGTTAAAAAAATCCTAATCCCCAAATTCTACCCCAGAGATTGTGATTCATTAGTCTGGGGCTTGGATGGCAACGTTTTTTTAAAACCTTCTTGGTGATTGTAATTCGCAGCCAGGGTTGAGGACTCCTGAGGTAGATGATGTCTGGGTCCCTTTCCAGCCCTGAAATATTATCAGCCAAATTAATCTCAACCCCTTCCTGAAACTGTTTAAATGTTCAACTTGTAGGGGTAATTTTTTAAAGTTTATTACCCACTGTGTAAAGGCGTTCTTTTATTTGTCCTAAAGTTACCCCTTGTCTGTTAGCCTCTTTCATTTCCAAGCACTGTCATCCTCTAGCTGGATCTTGGAATTGCTGCTACTAATTGATGCCCTTTCCCTGTGATACTCTTGCCACCACTCACTGGCTGCAGGTCGTTTCTTATTCACCCTGGGCCACAAGCCCCTGCATTAGATGCTGCCAACTCTGCACGGGTCTCAGCAGATAGGGGTGAATCGGGCAGGCTTCCATTTAAAGTCTCTTCACTTTATTCTCTGTACTTCCACCCAAAGCCCTATGGGGAACCAGACTTTCCTGAGCCAGTGGGGGCTAACCAGTAAGAATTATAATGTGGGAAGGGGAGGATTCAGACATAATGCTGAATGGCACCGTGCTCACCGTCTGAAAGAAAACCACGTCAAACTTAAACCTCTCACGGGGAGCCCAATTAAGGATGTGCCCCTGTTCTTATGCTAGATCCTCTGCCCTCTGACAAACTGTCTTTTCAGAGGACACTCCCTTCTTTTCACAACCACAGTGAAATTGTTACCCTACCCACCTTTAGGAAAAGTGTCACCTACCCACAAATTGATCTCTTCTGGTCATCAGAGCAATCCTAGGACTTGAGTAGCCCCCAGCAGAGCTCTTCTCAAAATCTGGCTTATCCAACTATGAATTACATGGAGGGAGGGAAGTGGGCCTCGATAGGACAGCCCCGTGTGAGCTTTAACAGGTTTAGTCCTGACAGGTTAAAAGTGAATATCTCTTCCTTCCTGCTGATCACCCAGGTGGCAATGAATGAACGTCTCTCTCTCTCTCTCTGTCTCTCTCTGTCTGTCTGTCTGTCTCTCTCTCTCTCACACACACACACAAACACACACACACACACATTTTCCAGGACCCAACTGCATGTTATTTATCTATATTAAGCAAGAGAAACTGTTTTCTAAATGGATGCAGATTCCTGCCCTCAATGAGTTTGAAGCTTCATTACTGTGCAGAGCTGTGTCCACTCAGATTTGTTCATCTTCCAGCTCCTACATCTTGCCCAGAGGCCTGTTGGAGTAGAAGAAATGGGTCTACTTTCCCTGCCTTTGAAAGCACGGAGCCACCTAGTCCCGAATACCCCCTCCGTTGCCACACTAAAATCTAGTCACTCGGGCTTTGTGATACCCCCCACCCGGGACCAAATCTTGTTTCTTAGGCAGGGCATCCCCATCCCCTTAGCTGTGAGAGGAAGGGAGGCAGTGTGAAGGTTAATTTTCCTGAGCAGCCCTGCCACCATTGTGCAGGCATCACAGAGGGTTTGAGGATTTAGAAACGATTGTAAGTCTGTGTTTATTTTAGTCTATTATAGTCAGAGTTTTCATTGGCTTTGATTCGAACTCATTGTAGCCTTCATCTTTCTGGAATGAATAATGATTTTAAAAAACAATTTCTATCAAACAGTAGCACTGCACCACCTCCCTCCCCGTTCCTGCCCTGGCCCCATCATTCCAGTTATCCTTATCTGTGCCTTGCTTTCTGATGTCCACCTGCAGTCTTAGGCAAGCTGCCAAATGTCACCGCTCTGGCCCATTGCTTGAGGTAATAGTTTCCAAAGGTTTACTGCTTTCAACTTTGTCTCGTCTTATCTCTCTCAGCCTTCAAGGCTTGACCCCTAATGTAAATTTCCCAAGAATTTGAAAATCAGTCCACGCCCATCCTCCCCGTTTAAGATTTTTAAAATCACACCCTCTTTTAAACATGTGACTGGATTTTGAAGGCATGTAATCCGTCTTGCACACAGTAAGCACTTGATATTTTGTTCTATTGATCTCTCTAATGGTTCTGAATAACAAAATGATTCATTCATTTAAATTTCCATTTGTAATCTTATTAAATACCTCTGAGGTGTGAGGAACTGGCTACAGATATACATGTACAGATGCATATATGACTTTTAAGGCAAAAGATCAAGTTCCAAATAGATTATGTCTCCAGGTCTAATGCATGAAAAGTACACTGAGACTATTGGAAGTTCTGACTGTGGCATCAGGTAACCTGAATTGGAGAACTGTGATCCCGATTTATAGGTTGTGTGACCTCAGGCAAGTCATTTCATCTCTCAAAGCAGCAGTTTTATCATTGAGAAAAATGAGAACCATAATAGTATCTATCGGGTGTGCTTGTTTGAAGATTAAACGAGATAATGCTCACGTCACTGGCCCATAGAAAGAGCTTAGTCCATGTAAGCTATTATTATTGTGCTTCTAGGTTCTACAAGGGAACAATCCAGACATTGAATACATCAGTGTTTTTCAAGTGCTTTTCAGAATCAACTTAGGTACATTAAAAATGCAGATGCCTGGGCCTCACCGCTGGCTTACTGATCATGCTTCCTCACACTGAGGTGTAGGCACCTGTATTTTACCCAGCTTCCCAGGCATCTGTTGATGAGAAGCCTTCTAGGTTGTCCCACTGCTGCTGCGGGGCTCCCGAGCTGTTGTGTGAGCTGCAGTGGGTAAGAGACTGGGTGGGCTGTGATAGACTTTGTAATGTGCCAGGTGATCTGTTGCCCCAAATTTCTGCAAAGGTCTTAAAGACCATTTTAAGGTTGGAGATATTCGTCATAATGCACAGTAGCGATATTAGCTCTTGTCTCACATTTTTAAATGAATCTTTTTCCATGCCAGATTTAGGGAAAACCTCAGGGGCATGTGAAGAAAAGAACAAGAAACAGGGAGGTAGGAAGCGCTCTCTGTTTGTTAGAGCTGCAAGATCACCGATTCAGAAGGCAGAGGATAGAAGTGGGGAATAAAAAAAAAAGAATGGCATCCAGGAAAGAGAGATTTTGGTGCCAACCACTGGACATCTGTGGGTTCTCTGCTCTCTGTCCCTTTGGGACAGCTGCTGGGGGTGGGGTGCAGGGCATGCAAGGGCTTTGGGCTGTGTGAACAGACGTTTGTTGACAACAGGCCAGTTTCAGTTTAGTTCGAAACTATTAAAAATTTAGTTTTATTGGTGTCTCAGAAAGGCAGTAATTGTTCTGTTCCCCTGGCATATCTATTCCATGAGGCAGGTTGTAACTCGTCTTGTTTGCCCAAGCCTTAGCAGAGTCCCCAGTGAGGGGACAATTTTACGGTGTCAATTTGAAAGCAAATCTGTCTCCTGATCAAAAGAAACCCACTGAGGTAGCAGTTTGTCACCTTCTTCCCCTCGGTCCCCAGAGTGGGGGACTCTAGCAGCTCTTGTGCTCGGCATCTTTGTATCCTGTGGACAGCTCGACCCGTCTGGGGAGCTCTGACTATTGGTGGTCAGCTGGGAACACAGCTTTGTGTGTACAGGGGTTTAATGGAGGATGATTCCACAGGTTCCTGCACAGTCTTTCACAAATGGTGACAAACTTTTCACCAGTGGAGAGTAGGAAGCACCACTTGGTGTTTTTCAGACCCAAGTTCAGGCACTTATTGGCTGGGTGACATTGGGCAGGTGACAACTTCTCTGAGCCTCAGACTCCTCATTTTGCTATCAATGTTGTTGCGAAGATTAAATGAGAGAATTAAATGTGTGAGAAAACCCTTAGACAATTCTGGCACACAGGAAGGGCTCAGAAAATGGTAGCTGTGGCCAGTACCAATGGTACCAGTACTGCTGCCATTGTGCTGAACCTCAAGACGAGGAAAATGTCTCCCAGACCTCACAGCAGGGATGAAGTCCTGTGCCTTAATGCCCTCTGCAAACAGGATTTAACAGTATAGTCTAGCACAGATGGCTTAAGTAACTCCTCTTCAGCTTGAAAGACAGTTGGCCTTGTTCAAATAGATCAATCAGAGGAAGTTCAGTTGTAAACAACATGGTCAATCCTACAAATCAATCTGTAAACACGAGTGATGCCTATTTAAAGACCTAAAGCAAAAATTCAGAAATAGAAGGTAACAAAGAATTCTAACCTTTTTGGTACATCAACTGCATGGTAGCTCTCAAGAGAAAGATCAAGTATTTGCCCCGAAAGTTTACAAAAAAGGATTTTGGAAATGAAATATCTACAGGTTAACAGTGCTGTAGGTAAGATGTGTTTTTTGGTCATATTAACCTTCCACTGACTACTGATAGATATGAGAAACTAATGATTCATAAATGTCTTTCTCTGATGTTGCCCCAAGACGTACACTCTCATCTAGCGGTGAGGCTGACTGTCCCTCTTCAGCCATCATAGCTGTGTCTACCCTCTGTCTCCATAGGAGCCAAGGCACCTCATGATATTAAAATAATTTTCAATCCATGAACAAGTGAGATTAAATACTGAAGAGTAATTAGTGATTTCCAGAATTAGTTGATATTACTCAAATCAACTGGGGAATGAGTATTGGAAAATAAAAAAAAATAAGCCAACTTTTAATAATACAAAATTATTTATTAGTTAAAAAATTATAATTTGTTCATTACACAGAAAGTAAAACGAATATTCCCTACAACAATTTTAACTGTAAGCGTACAAAGTAGGAGTGGCACTATGACTGGGTCTGAATTTCATATTAATGCCTAAATTAGTGTTAGAAAATCGAAAATGGTGACATGTAAACTGCGCCTGTGATATTTTGTTAGCAGGTTGCATATTTTAAGTTGTCATCTAGAGGTGGTAAAAAAATAGATGTATGCATGCCATGTTCCAAACTAATGTGATTTCTATTAACTATAGCAGATGTCCCAGTTTGTTTCCCTCCTACAGAAATCACTGCTTGCTGCTGCTGAGGGAGTGAAGTTCACATAGTCTGTGCTGGGGTAAGAAAAACACTCTGAAGCTCTGAAGGTGTCCAAGTGTTCTGCCTCGCAGGACGCACAGCAGCAGACAGAGGCGGTGGCAGAGGAGAAGCAGTTGTACTGGGTGTGTGAGGGCAGGTGAGGGTAGGAGTAGTCTTCCGAGGGGTAGCCACAGTTTCTGGTGTCCAGAGAAGGGGGAGAGTTGTAATTCTCCGGAGTATATGAAGGTAGCTGAGCAGGAGAGTAACTGTAGTCTAAGCAACCAGAGAGAGTGGAGGAATCCGAAGGCCATCCTGGGGTCTAGAGAGATGAAAACCAAGGAACAAAAAGCTTGATAAATTAGACAGAATTAAAAGAACTGAATAGAGTAGATTTAGTAACTCAGAGTAAGAACATTAGGGGGAAAAAAAAAAGAAAAGCACAACAAAACACCCAACCCAACCCAAGTCTGCAGAAGTAATTTTATTTGCTGGCTGGCGTGATTTCATGACACCGCATTCTATACTTACCTATTTCTTTCCCAACAATAAATTGCCTTGCTTCACTGGCTTTCTTTGTTATAAGCATACTTTAGAGCGTGCTTTGTTCTTAAACCACAAAATCCCATTGTGCTTCATCACCTGCGCATCAAATCCTGCTGTGTGCCACGATAGAAGCTGCAGGTGGCACCCTGGATGTTCTCCACACCCTTGACTGTGGAGAACAAGGTGAACATACACAGGTAGAACCGAGATCCTCAATGAGCCAGTGTCTGGGAGACTCCAAGACTCGAAACTACTGTTACAGGCGCTAAAGTCTTGACCCCTGCAGAGAAAGGTACTTTCTTCTTCCTCTTAAGCAGGTCCACAATTGTTACTGAGAAAGCCTAACTTGGAAGCTGGAAGAGAAGTGAATGACTGGGGCCCTGTGTGCATATCCTGTGGAGTTAATTTCTTATCCCTTTAAAATTTAGTCAGATACCTACACAGACTTTTGACAAACCAAAAGAAAAAAGTATTTACATTAAAAAACTACTTTCTAAGGTTTAAAAAAAACTATATGAGTATCTAAAAGACATCTTCAACAACTGGTATCTACCAATGGACACCTTATTTCCATTTTAAGTGGTAACACATTTTCAAACATTTGAGGTCCATGAAGAACAGACAATCCAAATGTTTTCAACTATTAGGACTTCATTTTTTTACCAACCATCTCAGACCCAAATGAGTTCTTGTGTCTGTACCAGACCAAAACAACCAGTTAGTAGAGCCAATTCAATGCCAGAATAAAACAAAAAAATCCCTTGTCAGATGACAGTTTGTACTGTGTTGAAACAGCCTTAATTCTAATTTCTAGAACTCAAAAATCCAAGGGCCATTGTTTAAATCAGTAATTTCCAATGAGTAGATTTCTGAACTTTACAGTTTAAAAACATTAAATGAGTATTGCCGGGAAACCTCTTTTTATGGCCACACACCAAAAGTACTTGGGCGTAGCCGACTTGGGAAATCATAATTACGTGTGTATCCAAAGGATTTTGCCCTTCAGTGTGTGGCTATTTCTACCTCCATTGAGTTTTAAATGGTTCTTTGCTTGTTTCCTGGATGATTTTCTTGTTGATAGTGTTTTTATGATTTCTCACGAGATGATACAAACTCTCTGCCCCATAGTAAACAATAATAGGTTTTGTAAAGAACAGAGATAAATTACCAGGCTCTGGTTAAAGGAGAAAGGGGCAGGCTGGAAGCTGTCTGGGAAATAGTGTGGAGTACTTTGCATGGAACTGGGCGAAGGGTCCGGGTGTGTCTCTGTCTGAAGGTAGGAATCAAATATCTGGTCGAGGAAGCCTGGATTTTCTTCACAAGAAACACAACTGGAAAATTCTCGGGGTTGGAAATAATTGGGTGTGGAAGGAATTGGTTCAGGCTCAAAATACTGTCCTAGAAGAAAAAGGAAAAGGAGAGATTTTTGTTTAAAAATTGCACTTACAGATTTGAATGGAGTTCTGTTCTTTATTCTGAATATTTACTACCTCTAGGGGGAAAGGGGGCTTAAGAAGTTCGAGAAAAGTAAGCCGGCAGGCAATCTGGATTTTTTAGTTGCCTTAGAGAATTCAAGTCCACTGAAATGAATCCGGTTAATAATGTGGAAACTGGCTGTAAATGTGGCCTGGGCAAAAGAAAACGATGGTGATCCCATTTCTGTCCAACTGTCACAGTCAAGCTCAAACTTCCCCTGTCCACTCTCTTAGACTATAAAGCACCAACACCCCACCCCTATCTGCAGTCCAAGTGATCCTCATCTCTCAGAAGTAACTTGTAGTGTTGTTTGAGACTTTAAGAAAACTTCTGATGCCATGGGAGATAATTCTCTTGATCTAGGGTTAATTGCTTTCCAAAAGTTTTCACACTTACTCAGTAACTTAAATTTTGAGGAGTATTACAAATGGCAATGCATATTATAAATAGAGAAACCAGGAATGTCTACAGATTAGTATTGCTCATTTTATATTACAAAAAGCAAAATGTTTCCTTAGTGAACATGTTACACATGATCATGGAATTAATATGTTAAATACCAAACAAGAATAGTTCTGAAACCCCTCCCTTTTCCATTTCAGTATTAATAGGCCCCATTTCTGATTATTACCCTTAAATGCTCATAGAAGATAGGTTTAGAGTGTGTCCATCAGAGGAACGACAGAACACTGGAGTTTTTGAAGTCTCGAGGCTCCTTTAAGGTTAAGTGGCACATTCAGTGGGGAGCTCCCATAGCACTGGTTTCCTTATATATGACCTCCTTAAACTCTGAGCCGTTGAGTGGCATAGGTAGGAGTGTTTATGTAATAGAGTTATTCGTAATGGGCTGAGAAAACTTACACTTGTTTGAACTGCTTTCTGGGAAGAGAGAAAAGGAGGGGAGGGAAGCCCCTGTTGGCTAGAAACTAAGCGAAACAAGAGCAAAGGCATTATTCTAGGACCTCGGGATGTTCTGTATTCCATCTAATAGTACACTAAAAAAGATAACAGGTTTCTGAAAACAGTTCTGATCTTTTAATCAGGTTTAGTTACTTGGAGACAAGGACCTGGAACTAATGTGAGGAACAAGCTCTTGGAGCAGAGTAGGTAGCAGGGAATAGACAGTTCAGAAATGAGGACAAAATGTTGCACTTGTTTCCTTGCTGGGCTTGTATTTGGAGTCACCATGCCTTTTTTCACCTTCTGATTGGTTGGATTCCAATTAAATGGTGGTGCCTATCCTAACCCCTGAATCAAGTACTGAAAGCCTTTCGAGATGGACTTTTGGAAGAGTTTTTGAGGGAATTGTAAGGCTGGCTTTACTGACCTGCAGAAGATGGTGGGACTGGGTCTGAAAGGTGGACACTGTTGCCTCCGGACAGCTGCCAAAGCAAGAAGATGACCACAAAGCAAAGTGAAATAAAAGTTCTTTAAAGGGAAATCTAAGACATTTTGACGTGAGCTGTGTTGCCTTCTGCTTAAGGTAAGCCAGATTCTTTCTTCTGAAAAAAACTCACTGTTGTGAAATACAACCAATGTTATATCTTCTTTGGATTCAACTTTCATTTTTGCTTGGGGATTTTTTTCTAATATCTCCCACTTAAATTATACAGGTTGTTAATTTTGATAAAAATTAATTTAAATGATTTTTATATGACATAAATGAACAGTGCAAGAAAACACAGTAAATAGCCTTTCTATTAAACTATTTAATTTAAAATAAATAAGGATTAACATTTATTTAATCCCAACTGTCCGTAACTTAGTCAATCATTTTCCTTAAAAATTTCATATACTATCTGGCAGCTTAATCCTGGATAGCTAAAAATAGTCACATGTTCTTCCTAGCTATGAAATATTAAAATAGAGAATACTTTCTTAAAGTTGTAGTCAGTGAACTGGAGCCTATCTACATTCTAGTTAATGGCTGGGAAATATTTCACCTCTCGGTATGTTTTTTACTATTTTCTATAAAAGTTGCTTTTTTTCACTACGATAGTTAAATACCTGAAGCTTATGAGACTGTTCCTTTTAACTATTCAAAGTAAAGCAGCCTGTGTCTTCCAGTTAAATTGATAATTGTACTAACTGAGTAATTTAGGACTTCTTTTTTTTTTTAGATTTCAGGTGGTGGCTTTAAAGTTTAAAGGGACCAGCCTTGCTCTGAGAATCTGTGCTGGGAAGCAGAGCTCAGCATGCCTCTCTCCTGGTTTACAGGGTATACTCACTCCTGTACCCTGAGCCGCTGGGAGCCTGCACAGTCAGCCGCTGCTGAAACAGGAGGTGGTGTTAATTTTGAAAACGATCCATGCTGTAATATCATGAACCAGGAAGTTGGAATCCCTCACCAGTTCTTTATGCAAATATTTGGCTGCAGCTTAAGCTCAAGCACTTGCAAGGAGTGGGTTTTAAAAACTCGGCTTCAATGTAGAGCTCTGGTTAACCCCATTCCCCCCCCACAATGGTCTGTTTGTAGGCCTCCCCAGGTTATCTCCCTCAGGTATGTTTACAATACCCTACTTGATATTATCTTTCTAGTCATGGGTTCACTTTCTACTTTGCTGCAAGAATACAAAGTCTCCTCTCTCTTAGATTTCAAACAGCACAAAAATCCACAATCTACAATTTATAAAAATACATCAAGGCTGTTTAAAAAAATTAATGGTAAAAAAGGGTAAATTATGCCTTTTGATAAGTACTAACTCCAGTTTCTCTTTATCCTAAAGGTAAAAGAGTTGTGTGTGCATGCGTGTATGTGTGTAGGGCTGTTTGTAAATTGATCTGGCCGAAGTAAGTTTTTTAATCAAACTGACAAATCTGGCATACACGTGTTTCTCCTGGCATTGAGACCCTAATGTTTGTCTCAATCTATAACTTCCATTCAGGATTGCCTTCTTAAAATTTCAAATTGTGGATGCTACTCTGACTTTATAGCAAATTACGATACATTTCTTCCTGCTTTATATATTTGATAAAGTTAACTCTAACGCTTCCCAGAGGTATCCTTAAAGCACTGAACAAATTGGAGATGATCTCTGTTAAACCAGGAGCAGGCACACACCATGCCCTGTTACCTGCCATCCCTGCCTACTGAGTATACCTCACAGCTTTCCTAGAATCCTAGATCCTTCTGATGGTGCCCAGTGAGAGATTTTACATTTGGCTATTACAACTAAATCAACTCTGTGTTACTCCTCCACGTCTGTGAGGATCTGGGTGGATAAAATCTTCCAGAAAGCAAAGTAGGGCTGGCTTTGCTCTGCATGTTCCTGAAAGGCACTGGCTCAGAAGTACTGCTTGATTATTTCTCAGGGAGGAATTCAGAAAATTCAGATAAGTCAGACTGCTCCAGGGAACAGATACTGGTCAGATACACAAGTGCAATGTCTCAGCCTTGCCTTCCTTCCAGCAGCTAGCTAACAGGGGAACAGTGGCCAAACCAACCTGTAAGAGGCCAAGAGTAATAAAATTGCCATGTGCAAGTGGGCAATTGCAGTGCAGGTTGCAGCTGGAGCAGAATTCTACCAGGTACCAAAGCTCCTTAACAAAAGATTACATTTTGTTAGGAACGTCTTGATGATTTTTTTTTGGCACCAGCAGTATTTCGCAGTTCCCTTGCTCCTGGTTTTATTAATTTTATAATAATCTCTGAACTGAAGGGGTTGATGGTTGAGGCTATCAGACTCCTGCTCAGCACAGCTGGATCTGCAGAAAGATGAATTTCAAGAGCCATTGGGTGGGGAGTTTCTTTAAATATTAAGAACAAGAAGATCTTAGTCCCACTTTTTGCTCTACCATTAGTGACTGTAAGGCTTTGACCTTTAGACATAATAGAGGCATACAGATCCCCGATCTACTTACCTCCCCTGGTTGTCATAAGAATTAAAAGAAATAGTGAGTGTGCAAAAGTGCTTTAAAAGAACCACTGGAAAACCCTGTACAAATGGAAGGAAGTTTTATGGTGTTAGCTGAAATTCTACACGTGGAGGTACTGACTTTACACCCAGAAAATGTAAAATTTGTGCTGTACGTGCCATATCACAGCAAGCTCACACCAGAACTCTAAAACTCTGAGCAAAGGGTATGAATGAACATTACTGAAGAGCTGGCTTTCAATCCCTGGTTGTACTTTTATTTTAGCTGCTTTTGGGAAATAATTATAATGATAGTTAACATGTATTGAGCACTTTCTAAGTGGAAAGCACTCTTCTAAGTGCTTATGTGCAGTGACTCATTTAATCCTCACAAAATCCCATTATCTCCAGTTTAAAGATGAGGAAACTGAGACTGAGTAACTTGCTCGAGGCTTCACGCCATGGAGGAGCTGAGGTCTGAACCCAGTCCACTGGTTCTAAAACTTGTGCTGATCACCCCTACCGCATCTGCCTCTTCCCGAAAAGGCCCAGTTTCATGAAGTCGGGCATTGCACACAAACAGCACTGGACACAAAAACTGTTGTGCGACAGATGCCAATAAGCTGGAGACAGGACCAGTCTTACCACGGGCAATATGGGCTCTGTCCTTCATATCCGACATTCACACCCAAACCAACCCAAAGGCAACTGTGTGATCAAGGGCTCTCGGCAATGAACTGCCCTCTCTTGGAGGATAACCCCGCCTAGTTTATTTGGTTCTGCTGCTGCCCTGAGCACTCTTGGTAGTACTTTCTGCTTTAGGATGTACATAAAATGGCAGGGTACCCTTATGACTGCCCAGATCAATCGCATGATAACTTGGAACTGCTCAAGGCTTCATTACATCTTAAGGAGGTTCTGTATTTCAAGCTGTCTCCTCTGAGGCTACACGGCCCCTTTCGGCTGGGAAATTTCAGTGCCTGGTGATTTACAGATCAATGACCTCAGAGGCTGGGTTCCAGAAGAATGAGGTGGCGGGGAATGCTCCACGGAGATTCTCTCCTTGAAGGGCTCCCTAAAAGGAAGTTTCTCGGAGAGATTTTCTTTGCGTATGTGAGGGCACAGACACTGTCTTCCTACAAAATAACAACCTACTTACCTACTGGCTGCTTCTATCCCTGTATTGGACCAACATGCTCTTATACTCCACTATGATCAGTGAGGGATGGGCTCCCCCAAATCTTGAGCTCCACAACATGCCCCAGCTGTTCTCTGTTGCTTTCTGTGGTGAACTGGGATGAAGGTGGGCACAGCGTTATAAGAACAGCTATGGAAGGCCAGGCCTGGGGATGGTGACTGGGGCCTAGAGTGGCCTCCTACACCTTCCCAGACACAGGGCTAAATGAAGCTGAACACGAGTTGGGAAGAAGTGAAGGGTTTATGCTTACGGTTCCCCCCGAGGCTGCCTGGTGTGCCCTTCTCTGCTGCAGCAGCTCCTTCACTGTGATCTTCACCCGGACACCTTGATACACCTTAGGTTTTTCTGGGGAAAGGCAACCGAGTCAGTGGTCAAGTGTGAGGTTTGGATGTCAGGCTGGGGTGTGGGGGAGTTCTTTATAAACTATGGCATCTGAGGCCAGATCTCTAGGTCTGGAGAATGCAAAGAGAACGCTAAAAGACAGATGGGAAAGAAACTCAAATTTCTCAAACTCGAAAGGATGAAGAGATACCGTGGGCAGGTTTCAGGGCCCCAGTGGAAACAGAACCTATGGAAATCTGTGGGGCTACCTGCCCCAGGCTGAGCCCTATCCCTAGGCCAATAGCACAGGTTTTTCTGCTCAGGAATATGGAGACCAGTCTAGGGGAGCTCACCCCTTGGCTAAGTTAGGGGAACCTTGGGTTCTGGTCTGGGAGAGGATGGAGACCTCTCCCAGACCAGAACCTGAGGAGGGGCTGGGCGTCGCCGCAGCTGACATAGCCCACCCCACTCCCACGCCAGTGGAAGTTCTGAGTCCCTTCCTTCTCCGCCAGGGCAGACGTGGCTTCTGGGGAGCCTCTGACCTCTACGTGCCCTTGGCCTGGAAGCCAGCCCTGGGGCAAGCAGCCGGCAGGTGGGTTTGGCCAGCCTTGTCCTTGGGTCGGTGAGGGACTCGCCAGACTGACCCCAGTAAAGGGACCAGGCCCGAGAATTCCCTCCCTCTCGTCTTTTTCTTCTGCCTTCTCTCCCTCACCCCCTTTCTCGCCTTTCCTGCTCTCCATCTTTTCCTCCTCCCTCCTTAGTCTCCGCTCCCGCTCGCTCCTCTTCCCGTCTCTCCCCACCCCCTCCCTTTCTGGGGCAGGCATTTCTCCGCGGCGCCCGAAGACTCCGAGTCGAGTCCGCGAAGCGCGAGCTGGGGAAGGCGTGCGGTGCGGCTGAGGACCGCGCACTCGGCCGGGAGGCCGCCCTCCGGAAGGGGCCGCCCCTGGGGCTGGCGGGGCCGGGCCTGGGTGCCCGGCTCGCGGGAGAGGCCGAGCGCGCCCTAGGGGTCGTTGGGGAGGGCGTCCTGCGCGCCGGGAGCGGGGGCAGCCGCGGCCCCGGGCGGGCCCCGCGGAGCCGCGGTGAGTAGGTCGGGCCGGGCGGGCGTTTGCGGGCGGGGGTGGCCGCGGGATCCCAGGAGCGACTCCGGCCCTGACGTCGACCCTGGAGTGAGCGCGGGAGAGCCGCGCGGGGAGGGGCGGGCCGCGCGATCAGCCGGGGCGCCCGGCGACAGGGCCGGGCCGCTAGCGCCTCGCCTGGTCACTGCGGAGACCGCAGCAGGACAGCTGGGAGCCCCCCAGGCCGGGTCCTGGGAGCTAGGGTTCTCCCCAGGAAAGGAGGTCGCGGTGTTCGTCGCCCAGACCCAAGGAATCCCGCGTCTGGCCCGCAGGGCCTGGGCGCCGCGCCCTGTCCGCGGTCCAGCGTCTCCCTGCGACTTCCTTGCCGCGTCCGCGTCCCCGCGGACAGCGGGTGCTGCCCGGGGTCCGCACAGGGACCGCCACGGCTCAGCCCTGCGCGGGCCGGCTCAACCGGCTTGAGTCCCAGGCTCACCGTGAGCCTCTAGCTCCCGCCGCCGCTGCTGGGCGCACAAAGTCCGCGCCGGGAAGTCCAAGGGTCACAACTATGACCAAGTGAAAGGACCGGTGGTGGACCGGGGTACGCGGACGCCACAGCGGCCAACTGGACCTGTGGGCCTCTGCCCTCGGGACCAGGCGTGGAGTGGGAGCGGCCACAGCGTGGCCCGTGCCCTCTCCGGATCCCGGGCTCCTACTTGCATGCCCTGACTTTGTGCCTCTCTGTTCCATGCAGGAAAAGCCGTGGAAATACACCCGGATCAAAACGCCCCTTACCCTCGTGACCCTACCCCAGGACAAGAAGCCGAGTTACCCGACATCGTGGTCAGCAGAAGCTGGGCTGGTGGCTGGATGCTGCAGCTGCAGGGGCTCAGCGCCTAGGAGGGCTCCTGTGCAGGGGGAGAGGCAGAGATGCAACATTTTTAAAGTTTCACAAAGCATCCAGCTGCACCCAGGTTCCTGGAGCAGGAGACAAACAGAATTAATGTTTTATACCTTCGGGTATAGGTTTGAGTTTTTTCCCCCTCATGCCAAGTATTTAAAACCTCTAGAAACCCATGATTTGACAATCAATGATTGCGCGATACTTTCAATTTGAATATTCAAAGGCTTAACAAAATGGACTATCTTCTGCAGAAATCCTGCACACAGGCACCCCACAGAGAGTCCACAGAAACAGGGGGTGAGACCCCTTTGGGGCCTGGCCCTTGCTTTTATTGTATTTTGAGCATTTTGCCCACCTTCCCACAGACAGAGCAGGAGTCCTCAAAGATGCTCTGTATTTCTGCCTCAAAGGCAGCTCTGGGAGCCTTGAGTGACTTAGGGTGCCCTTCATGACCACCTGAGCCAGGCTGGCCAGGCTGACTGATTTCCATCTCTTCAGTCTCTGTTTTAAGAGAAAATCTCAGGTTTTGTGGAGTGAACATGGCAGCCAGTAGGTCTGGCCTGGCAAGGAGTCACTCTGGGCCCAGACTGGAGGCTGGAGGCCTGCAGAGGCCTCAGCTCTGCACCTCATCTCCTTCTGGCCCCGCCTGGCCACGTGCTGGCTTCCCTCCCCTTTCTTCCGCTCTTTGTCTGTGCCCCAGACACTGGGGTTTCAGTACAGAATGCCTGCCTGTTAAGACCCTTTGCTCCTCCCCACAGAGCTGGGGATGCCTGTGGGGCTTCACCTTCTGGAGAGTTTCTGAGGCTGGTGTTTTTTTTTCACTATGAAGTTCCCTTTTTTCTCCTCTTTATCCCTCTAGAGCCATTCCTGCCTTTTTGTTGCAGGAGCGTGTGTTGAGAGAAATGATAAGCTTGGCTTCTGCTCATTCTAGCTGAAAGGATATGGATTTGTGTCAGGCCTTCACACTTTGGGTGAGAGGTGGGAGGGATATGAAGTCAACTGCTTCATTGGTCCAGGCCTAAGCCCCTCACAAATGACCAGGGATTGTGCTGGGTTAAGTTCTCCAACCACTTGCTGTACCTCTTCTGTGTGATTTGGAAGCTGAGAAGACAGGAGTGGTCCAGAGAGGGAGTGGGTGCCAGGCCAAATCCTCTCCTGGCCCCCAAGAGAGGGCAGGGTGGGGCTACCTTTCCATTTCCATGTTGCCAGGACAGGCAATGGTTACAGGCCTCTGTTCTTTGTTCTCTGAATTCTCTGAAATGCAAGAGGTGGAGTTGAGCCCCTCAGGCCACCAGAAAAATACCCAAATGCCCTGGAATGTGTTGGATGCAGGAAGGAGCACACAGAAATGGAAGAAAGGGGCTCTAAGAGTGACAAGACATCAGGGTCTGTGATGGATCAGAGTTGCTTGGCAACTGAAGTTGTGTCTCTGGGGGAAGGAATCAGGGCTGGGAACACTTGAGATGGCACCTGGCAGTAGGTGTGGTGTGTGTTTGTCCCCAGCCCAGCTGGAATCTGTCAGCTTCTGGAGCCTCTTTCTCCAAAGGCACTGAGCCTGTGTCCTGAGTTTCCCTGATGTACTCAGGACCAGACTCATGAGGAGGCGAAGGACACTGGGAGTTCAGAGAGCCCCTATTTCTTTCTCCCTGTCCTGCTATGTGTGGGCATGGCCCCCTTCTGAAGGAACAGTGAGCAAAGCAGCGTAGAATTAGGGACAGTCTCTTGTCCTCATAACTTCTTCCATAACTTCTTTTCTCTTTCGTCCTCCTTTTTGTTTTATACTTATTTTTTGGTTTGCTTTAAAAAAATCTTCCTCTATGGCCTTTGTGTTTATTTTTTTCTGAGTTTCTTTCTTTTTGTCTCTCTTCTCGTCATTGCTTTCTATTTCTTACCTACATTGCTGTTTTTCTCCCTGGCTCTCTGTGTGTGTCTGTTTTCCCATGTTCTGGGGTGCTGTCTCATTTTTTCAGGCTTAGTCTCCTTCCTAACCTCTCCTTTCATGTGGAAGTGGACAGGGATGACAGGAGGCCATTGAGCGCCCTTGGCAACATCATTGAAATTGGTGCTGATGATTGGCTGACCTTTGGAGAAGGCAGGCAGGGCTGAGTGAGAGGTGAGCTCCTTGGAATTCACGGGCTCTGTAGAGACAGCAAAGACCTCTTTGTCCCTTCCTCCAGAAGCCTCTGCCCAAAGAAGGACAGCAGTTCTGGGGGCTTCTGCGTTGGCCCCTGCTCCTGGGATGGATGTTCCAGTGTTGTTGCTAGCCAGCAACTTCAGAAAACTGGGTTTCCTTAGGCCTGAGCCCTGATTTGAGAAAGAAGCCCCCAGTTTTTAGCTCAACAATAAGGAGTTTCATTGCCACTGTTTCTATAATTGCAGAACCCCAGCACAGGTATTTAAGAGCCACACGCCACACCTGCGGGGGTGAGGGAGGGTTCTTCTTAAATTGGGTCCTGTGAACCCTCCTTGTGGGGCTGTGTGTGTCACAAGGCCTGGAACAACCGGCTCAGCACTGAGGCCCCATGGAGTTGGATGTTCCTCATAGACTTTTTAGAGTTTGTCCTTTATTGAGTGTTTATTGCATGTCAGGCACTGTATGGTATAGCCTCCCCGTGTCACAGATGAGGAAACAGGCTCAGAGGGCTGAGCGGCATGACCAAGATTACTGAGCACACACATGGCAGGATTGGGAGTCAAACTTTGATAAATCAGATGCTAAACCCTTACTCTTAATTAACATTGTTGTCTTCCTGATCTTTTATAGCAGAGGCTTTCAAACTTTTCGGACTTCAAACCACACTAGGAAATTCATTTTACATGTTCACATACTATATCTATAACAATATTTATATATTTACAAAACAAACTTTTCATGGAACAATGTACACCTATGCATAAGAGATATCCTGAAAATTTCTATTCCATCTTTTCCATCTCATTCTATTCATGAAAACATCTATGTTGATTCGGAGTCTCTAATATAATTTAATGACCCACCAGTGCGTTGTGACTGACATTGGAAAATATTGCCTGTGAGACATGCAAACCCACTTGTCAGAGCTGTGCTCGTGGACAGCGTGTCCTGTCTGCTGTACTGTCGGGGTGTGTGGGGAGGCTGGGGAAGTGCAGATACTGACTGGAGAGTGGTCTGTAAACACTGGGGTCACCGGAACCCCGAGAAGAGGCTGACTGGAGGGGAGGGGAAGCTGCTAATTAGGCTTATGACAGTTTGTGCGTCTCAGACTGGAAACTCTTCTTTCTTGCTGGGGTCATGGTCACCTTCAAGGTGTCTGCCCTGAGGTCCTGATCATCTCTTTCGGGTTTTTAATAAAAGACTGAAAACAATGTTGTGGGTTTTAACAGGCTCACTTGCTTCAAAATATAACATAGGATCCAGATGTTTGGATGTTGGAAGGGGTCTTTGAGGGACTGAGACAGACTTGGAGTGTTTTTCCAACATTCCTGATGGTCATTGTCCGGCCCAGGCTCCCTCCGCCACTTGGCTGAGCTGCCAGCCCACAGAGGAAGTGGGAGCTCACCGTGTGTCAGGCCGCCTGTTCCACTATTGGACTGCTTTAAATATAATTGGCTGAGACAAAATCCAATGCGGTGTATTAACTGAGCACCATCTATGTACCAGGCCTGGTGCCAAGCACCAGAAATACAGACTGATAGTCATGCTTTCTGTCATCAACTGCTTGGTGAGTAACATGGAATACCTGTTCTCCCATGTCCACACCACTGCTCCTTCATTACAGGTCTGTTTGGCTCATTCATTTGTTCATTCATTCATTCATTCATTCAACAAGCATATACTGATGATCTGCTCTGACCAGGCCGAGGACTAAGCCTGAAGAAGGTATCGTGTCCCCTTCCACCCCCACTGCAAACCTTCTCTTTTTAAGGTTCACCATCTGTAATTTCTCTAGTTCTTCATATGTTATAGTATTTCAAATCTCTGAGCCACGGATCTCAGAAACCCTTTAGTTGGTCCTTGGCCTTCTTAAAGTCCTGTAGCACCAGAATAATGGGAATAGAATACATTTTTTTAAAAGTTTTAAACCGAATATTTTAACTGAAATTTTTTGGCAGGCTTTTGTATGCAAATGACACTGCAGAACATTATATTTAGGAGACGTTATTAAATTAGACACACATGACACATGAATATGAAAAGACTTTCAGTAGAAGAAAAAGAGGGAGTTTATTCCCTCCAAATTTGACTGTGGCTCTAAATTCTCTTCATTAATGCAAAGTTCTTTTGTCATTCTGACTGTGGGACACTGTTACCAAACCTTGTGGGAAATATCAAGTTCCAAAAACATGGAGGAGACAAGTATTTACTGGGTCCAATGTGAATGTTTGGTCCATATGAAAATGACCAGGAAGACTATTAGATGAAGGTTATTTAATGATTTCTGGTAAGTCAGTCTCTTCCCATAAAATATATCCAAAGTTTTTACATTAAGAGACTTCCATGGGGAATGAGCATTTGATAGTTTATCATTTAAATTAGGAAGATACCATCAGATTCTGCTTGAAAAGTTCATCTTTTACTTAAGACATTTTTTTTTAGCATCTTTATTGGAGTATAATTGCTTTACAATGGTGTGTTAGTTTCTGCTTTATAACAAAATGAATCAGTTATACACACACATATGTCCCCGTATCTCTTCCCTCTTGCATCTCCCTCCCTCCCACCCTCCCAAGACATTTTTATTATGCAACATTTGAGACATAAAACAACATAAAGATTACTGTGATAAAAGCCTGTGAATATATTATCAGCGTTAAGAAATAAGTGATATTTCATTTATGATTAAATTAATTTATTAAGCCTTAAACTTTTAGATTATCCACTCAAGATATTTGGTTAAGAGAGAAGGTTAGCAGGGATGGCTATCAATTTTCCCAATTTGAAAAGCTAATTCTTAGGTACTATTTGATTTGTCCACATTTTCTTCCTTTTGGAACTTGTAAATTTTTTTTTTTCACTCTCTTTTCCTTTTGGCTTGTAATATACTGACAATGACATTACATATTGCAAACCCACACGTTTATCAGAGATTATGATTAGAGGACACTTTTATAGCAAAGATCAAATATAACATGGTGTCATCATTTACAAATAATTATAGAAGATTTTCTTATTATTTATTTAACCTGATCTTTAGGGATTCTAATTCCTGATCTATTTATCATATGTGTTTTTATCACACCAGAGATAATACCAAACACTGAATAACTTTTATTTATAAGAATTCTTAGCAATATTTATAGTCTACATAGATACTAAATGAATATATAAACATTTTTCTATGCTACTTCAAAGGTTCAGTAATTTTCCTTCTTAAAGACATTTAAAAATATGAAATCAGTCATCTTAAATATATTACCACTACAACTCAATAGCCAGTACTGTCATGATTTGCAAAGAGTATGACTAAGTTAAATCCTAAGCATGGTGAGGACTTTCCTATACATCAGAATTGTCACCCATAGTGTTGAGGTCTAAGTTGTTACTCATCTTTGTGGTATAATTTTCCCTCAACTTAACAGAGATTTACTGAGCACCTACAACTTGCTGGACACTAAGCCAGGTGCTGAGGACACAGAACTGTCCTTCCCTTGATGAGTTTAGTTAGAGAATCCTCTTTAGCCAGAGTGTACGATTTTGCACTGAACCTCTCGAGAGTCAGTAGTTATCAAATATGGTGTGTAAGATGAACAGTGTAATATTATTTTGAACAGTGAGGATACCTTAGACAGAACCTCATGATCGAACATAAAGAAAGAGTATAATTTTGATGTGTGGTTGGTAGAATGACTGTAACGTAATGTGACTTAAACCTTGGACATCAATTGTTGTTTCAGTTCTTTAAATATACCTGATGTTTTATTTCTTGTGAATGTATTATTTAGATTTACATATTAAAAATGGATCACAGAGGTACTAGTAATTCCTTTATATATGTTTATATTTACATGTATATAGATATATATGTATGTATGCAAATATATATTTTACTATTGGGATTAGTAATTCTTTTCCCTTTGTGGAATTTTCTGTACAGTACTCTAGTACTGAAGTCTTCCCCTTGCCATCATATTGTATTATTAACTGAGCTGTAGCAAGTCATAACGCTGATTTAAAAGCAGTTATTAAGTAAATGAGGTAAAGCTGTGGTTTTCTTCTCTCTTTGGGGTTTGTATAACATTGTAAGAGAAGTACAAACAGTTTCAACTACATACTATAGTATCTGTTTTTAGCGATGTATGAGGGGATTGCCTATATTTTAGCTTTTACATGGGAAAATTTTGCTTTCCACTTTTTTTGGACATTATCCTCTAGGGAGATTTCTTAGCTTGAATTTGACATCACCATCTCTGCTTACTTTAAATCTTAAGGGACCTGAAAGAAATGGTGTTTTGAACCTGAACACTTAAATTTTCTCTGGCTTCCCCAGGAAAGCTGTGAGTCTGGGAAGAGCAGGTTTGAGAAGGAGAGGGAGAGGAGAACATGTATAATCTTTATGTTGGCATTCTGCATTATTACATAAAGGTGCAGTTAGTCCCTGGCATGTGGTAGGAAATAGAGAGTACTTGAATGGGAAATGGGACAGGGAAATATAATTCATTTTCCTAGCATAAGTTTCTATCTTGGTTTCACTTTTTACAAAGTATTGTAAATTCCCAGAACAATAAAACAGAACCAAATTAAAATACATGCAATATAGCAACACTGTCAAGCTAAATAGAATTCTTAAAAGTCATTTACCATTTGGAAATTATTAGCACCATTCCCCACTCCACTTGATCCTTTAGACTAGAGAACTGAAATGGATACTAGACAGAGTATGGGCCTGTGTGTGTCTCCTTTTTTACAAATTAAATTTGCCAAACACTATGAAAGGGCTTGGATGCTCTAAGAAGAATGTAGACACCACTGGTCACTGAGCTCTACTTATCTGAGAGCCAGTGAATCCTCAGGTTGTGAGAAGATGAACATAATAGGTGAATAGACAATAGCAAACTAAGAGAAATAAGCATGCCTAACGTTTAGTGTTATAATTAAACCAAAATTAAAGTTATAGGAACACATATTTATGACTTACACATAAACTTATGATTATTGTGTTATATGCTACTTAGTAACAAATGGTAAGCAGTAGATGACTGTAATTATTATAAAATTTATACAACCAATCTAGAAAAGTGACTTTGAGATCCTTCCTTGTGAAGACCCTGCATCTACAGGGAGGGCCAGATCTCTTCCTTCTGATGTGGGGCCTGCCGTCCAGGTATGAGTGAGGCTGGATGACAGATGGCTCTACCGAAGATGCTGGCAACCAGGACTAAGGTCTCCAGTCTCAGCAGACTTGAGAAGGGCAGCTCTCTCCCATGGTAGAAGCTGTCCCCTTCCACTGAAGAGCAAATATTGAGCAAAGTAAAGATCAGGTTGTGAAAAGGAGTGGTGGGAGGGAAGGAGTAGGCAGGGGACCCGGGAGAGTGCAGCCCAACATCTATGGACCACAAATGCTCCTTTGTTTGTTTCTCCAGGGATGCTGTCCCAGGAGGGGGATGAAGGTTGTGAGGTAAAAGAAGGCTCCTATTCAAGCATTTCTTTGAGAACTCCACAAATTATGTGTGTGTTTGCTCAACCAGAATATATACCCTTGAAGGCCTAGACAAGGAGGAATATCAATTATTCACTTCTAAATGTGAATTAATATCCATACTTGACTTTCTAGACTCCTACCTAGAGCATGGAACCCTGTCACAGAGGATGCGACGGAGACTGTATTGAGGGGCTTTGGACCCCCAGGAGATGGAGGGAAAAAGCACTGCATCAGGAGAGACCCGATGGGTCAGAAAAATGTGGTGAAGAGAATAAAGAAAGGAAGGTGGTAGGAAGACAAGAAGAAGATTGTGGGTGTGACCTGTGAGCCTTGACTCACACTTTGCAAAGTTAAAGTGTGTGCAAGGTGTTTATGATGGGCTTGGCCTGCAGAGAGGCACACTGCTTGGTGGGGATTACTATGGGAATTTAATTGCCGAAGAAGTCCACACCAGTCAGACTTACATGAGACAGATTGATGCTTCAAATGTCAGTTTCTTCATTTATACATAGTAAGAGCTATATATTTCTGACCAGTGAGCCATCAACAAGGTCTTTCTTCAAAGGTCATGTTGTCAAAGGACCTGACAACACGTCCTTCTCCAAAGACCCTTTGCTTCTTGGTGTTCTGTAGTCTTGTTTCTTGCCGACAGCCCAGGACTGCTCTCTGTGTTTTCCTTACAATGCATGCATTCTTATTTGATCGTAGAATGTCCATTTTGCTAATGCATTCTGATAACTGTCGGTTTATTCCATCAGAGAGACAATGTCTAGCTTAATTAAGGCTACCATTGATCAAAGAAAGTCTTTGGTCTGTGTTGTTTTTTGGATTAGCCTGATTTTTGGACATCCTGGGCTTTAGTGCAGAGTCAAAACCATGTTATTTATGAAGCCATAGTGTCCTGACCTCATTTTAATGACAATAAAGCATTTATATGTGGTGTCACATTTGTTACCTGCAAGTTATTGTTATTTGCAAGTCACCATAAGGGGATAAATGCATATAATGCTTCACACTTTATAAAGTCACATGATATAAAATGAGTTTTGTTTTATGCACCCTAATCTATATTATATCCTATGCATTCTCTTTTATTGAAGAACACACATAGTTCATAATTAAGAAAAACTGGAGGGAAATCGGTATGTTTTATGATCTGCATGAAGTTTTTAATGTAATTTAAGAAAAAAAACTATCAGTGCTAAAAATGATACTTCAAAGATAACAAAAGATTCAGAACATAATGGGTTACTAAATTCCCCCAGAGACCCCTCTGTCAGGCTGTCTAAGTAGAATATGGTCCCTGACACACTGAATTCACATTGTGGTGTGTTTCAGTGGGGTTATAGGGGGAGGATCACAAGTGAATGCCATCATCATCCATTAACAAAGGGTGGCACCATGGCTTATCCTGAGAATCCGGTTCTGAAGGAGCCGCCACACCACGACAATCTGCGAGTACAGACACTGACTTAAAGAAAAGCACAGAAGTCCTCTGGCATCCTCAGTAAGCTCGGCGGCACTCATATGCCCCCCATGCCAGGCTCCCATCTTCTTTGGTCCACGGAGAAGGGTCCTGGAGGACAGAAGTGTCTGCCCCCTCGTCCGGGGAGAAGGGCCCCACCTTGGGTGGTGGGTCATCGGACATTGTCATGGAAGAGGTGAAGGGGTAGGGGGATGGGGTTGGGTACCCCTGCACGTGGTACAGATCCTCCAGTGTGTGCAGAGAGTAGGACTGAACCCCCGCTAGGGGTGCCGCCCAACCGGAGCTCCTGTGCTGGGCAGTGCTCCCCGACTCTAGCTGAGAGAGGCAGCCTGTGCTGGGCGCCAAGCTCTGCAGGGCATCGGTCGGCACGGGGTCTGGTTGGCTGAGGCCTTCGGGCACCATCTGCTCCCATGAGTCCCTCTGAGGAGGATGGAAAGGTCACTGGGGTTAGTCATTAGATGATCGTCTGACGTGGGCAGATTTCCTTCCCAACATAGGGTGCTGCTGGCCCATGTCTTCCAAAGCAGACTAGGTGTCCTCCTTCTGCTGTCCAAAGCCTCCCTACCAGGCAGCTCTCCCCTCTGGTGTTTGACATCGGCAGTGGGAGTTTTAGTTCCTTTCTTACTCTAGAATTAGATTGTGTGTGTGTGTGTGTGTGTGTGTGTGTGTGTGTGTGTGTGTGTAGAGAGAGAGAGAGAGTCCTTTCCCCAGAAAACATTAAATGTGAAGATAATAAAATGAACATTTTGACAGCGTTTTCATCATTTACTCCTGGAAGAAGTAGACCCTAAGCTACACAGTGGGCTTCTGAGAGGGCTAGGAAGGCTACCGGCCCTCAGTGAGCAAGGGGGTAGAGCCTCATAGGCTTGGAGCTGGAAAGATTTGGCTTCAATTCATGGCTGGGCCACTTACTACCTTCCTGATTCTGAGTATTTCACTTTGTGCATCTGTAAGATAGGGCTTTAATAACTATACCCTGAGTTGTTGCAAGTATTAAATGAACAAGTGCACATAAAAGTTCCTGGCTGTAGTAGATACTCAATAATGTTAATTCCTACTCTCCCACAGCCTGTTTTGTCTAAAATCCCATCTCCAGAGATTCATGCCTTTGTGGTTGAGGGCTTTACAGTATAAGAAATTTACTAGTATTCATCTTTATGAACTCATCTCTGGAAGGACTGCGAGAGAACAGGGTTCTAGAGGGTAGAAATATCGTGGGAGAGGGGAGGCAGGGAGGGGGAGGGCGAGAGAAGTCCTGACGCGCCTGCCCTGGCTGACAGCCTCGCTGGCTGCGAGGTAACTTCAGTGCTCTTTCCTTATGCACGGGAGGAATAATGGGGAAACATCTGGCACAATCGGTAGAGTATTAACAAAATGGATATATATCCTGTTTTATCAGTCGTCCCAGCCCAAATCCCTAGATAGAGCTTCCTGCCGCGTGGCTGGCACGGATCTTTGAGGAGGGCTCCCTGGGCGTGGATCCTGGCATCTCCCGGGGCGGCGCAGAGCAGCCTCCCGGGGGTCTCCGGGGCGAGCAGACCGGGTTGCTAAGCACATAGGCTGGCCAGGGCCGCGGGAGCCCCGACGTTAGTGACACCCTAAACTAAGCCTCTGCATACTCACCAGCACGAAGTGTGCAGGCTCGCTGGGGAAGGGCAGAGGCAGGAGCTGTGGCAGAGGTGAAGCGCTGATTAGGGAGTCGCTGTTGGGGGTCAGGGCCGTGGGGCGGTGGTCCCCGTAGAGCTCTGGGAAGTAGGAGTCCAGGTGGGCCGGGTGGCCCTGCGCTGCCGAGGACTCGCAGGCAATGTCCTTCGCCACAGTTCGGGTGCAAGCATCGTTTGTGAACTGTTTACTGTTGTGGAAGTCCGAGTCGGTTAGGAGGGATCTCCTGACACCATAGTAACCTGACATCACCGGTGAGCCTGTTGCCAAGGGGAAAATAAACGGGCAAAAGTTGTTTCCTTGGAGGAAGTCAAGGCATCTCTGTTGCAGCCAGGTCTCTCCACGTGTGAAATGGTATTTCCAACGCAGGCCTGACGCCAAGGCCAACATTTAAATAGATAAATGTCTTGAAAGGCATTAAATATAGCGGCATTACCTCTTTTAACTGGTCCAGCCTAAATAATTCATACATTTAAAGTTCGCTCTGCCTTTGGGGATAAGTTCACTTTAGATGGAGCAGTAACTGTTCAGTGTCTCTCACTTCTTGTGCACCTTCAATGTGCCAGGTGCTGTGCTAGGTGCTGTGCTTATTCTATCTCTTTGGGCTTAAGGAGATAGAATAAGAAGCCCTTGGCATTTACATTTCATCTAATGAAGTATCTTTTTCACAGCTTCTGAGCTCTGTCCCCATAGATACAGGACCGTTTGCAAGAGGCTGCTTCTGGGGCATGTTATGTGAGACTCAGCATCTCTAGATAAGGTGAGACAATAACCCCGCCCCAAATCAGAGGCAGGCAGTACTCTTCTTCTAATTTTTTTGTACACTGGCCGTGACTTGCACCTATTAGGCACCAGAAACGGCTGCTTGCTTTGCTTCTGTGAAGCAAAGTTAGAGGACCACAAAAAATGTTTTCTGGCTTTGATGAGTCTGGTGTTATTTGCTGCCCTCTTGTGGCCACGTTGAGTCTCTCACTCAGCTCACCTGGGCACTGCAAGCGAGAGAAGGGAATGCATGGCACAGAAAGCTCCCCTTGGTGGAAACCTGGAGAGGCTGAAACTGAGAAGAATCTCATTTAAGGTAAGGCCAGTGAAATAGTCCCAGAGGAGAAGAGATGTGTTTGCTAAAGACTTTCTGATCTCGTAGCTCAGTTGTAGCAGGAAACCCTTCATCACTTAGAACGTGGTCAGGAGCATAGACTCAAGGGCTGTAAAACTGATTTTTTTTTTTCCAGCTGGTGGTGGGTGTGATCCAATTAGCTAAGACCTACTCCCTCAGGTCACAAAGAGGCTGAGCTGGGAGGATGATGCGGGTGCTTGTCTTTGTCACCTTTCCCAAACACAGTGAACCGCTTCTGAGCTTTGTCCCTGCCCACCCTGCCCACTCTTCCACAGGGAGAGAAGACAGACTCATCAAGACCCTCCTTCTTATTACACTGACTCAGTCATACATGACTCTCCAGACACAGCATTTTGGCCCCTGCCACCTGATGTGGCACTTCGTATTATGCTCGATACTCTCTCTCCTGAGTTACAGCCCTCTTTCCAATCCATCTGCAAGCTCCATGGGGGCAGAGCTTAGGTCCTACACATTTTCTGTAAACCCAGTCATATAATACTGTGTTCAACAATTACATGTGAATTTATTCATTCATTCAGAGGAAATCAAAATTCCCTGTAGAAACTTAAAGCATAATTCCACTCACTCTACTTTCATCTTAAATTCTATAGCCCCAAACATCTAATCTGCTCATGAATTTGAAAGGTGCAGTTAGAGGTTTCATCGTAAGCATAATTCTCCAGAAAAAACAACTGTGCAAGTGAAAATTAATATCAATAAATAAGGTTTCGTTTCATGCCAGGAATTTATATCCACAGTAGTGGTTAAGGCTGAGAACAGAATGAAGAATAAGTAAACAAGGCTTCCAGGATCTCATGTCTGTTTTCCAAATAAAAAAATACAGAGAAAAAAACCCTTCGCTTTTTAAGCATGTATTTTTCTCCCTAAAAAGAGGAAGAATAATTCTAGATGATAACAGAGGCTGCAGAAATTTTCTTCTGTAGAATGGAGCAGATACAACCAGATTCCAGCGACAATAAATATGATTGGGAAACACAGCATAGAGACATTCAGATATGTGGGATCGTCTCCTGCTCTTACCCCTTTCCCTTTTCCAGCTCTGAAGATTACCAAAATTAGTGAGAAACCGTATGCCCTTCTGAGTTTGGAATCTGGAAGGAACATGTGTGTGTGTGTGTGTGTGTGCGCGTGTGTATGTGTCTACGTGTGTATACACACACATATGAGAGTGCCCCAAATTATTATTAAGAATTCTCCTATTCCATCCCAACAGGAGTACTTAATGAGACATATGTATTAAAATGAATGTAAGATGCTTAACTAAGTGCCTGGCATATAGAAAGCACCAATAAATAATTGTTATTCCACCTGCCCTCATGTCTCTCTCTTTCTGTTCTGAAGCATGTGCATAATCTATCAGACCACAGTGCCAGAATCTTAAACATTTTAAAACTGTATCAAGGGCTTAACTGATATTGCTTTTGCCCAATAAGCTTATGCTGGACGGAATGCGTTCCAAATTCAGGAATGACTGAATGAGGTCTGCTTTCTCTGATTTTACATTTTAAAAATAAATGTTTTAAAGCTTCAAAATTTTGCAAGTGCTGTAAGGCAGCTATGAAAAAATGGAAGCCTAAATGCCTGATTTTGCTCAAAAGAGAAGGAATTGCCCCTTGAACTGCAATACTCACCTGGCATCGGGCCAAACGGAGGCTGAGTAGAGCTGACACTGCCCTGGAAGACAGAGGGGGCACAAGTGTTTTCTTCTTTAGTTGCAAGTTTGAACTTAAAAAAAGTTTAGGAATACGTTCTACAAGCTTTATTTTCTGCTACTAAGAAACATTTTAGGAGAGGTTAGCTTAGAGGAGGGTCAAATGAGAGTTAAGAACACAATACCAGAAAACAAACAAGGGACAGAGAGAAACCAACGTTTTAGATTCTGATAAACTTGCCAAAAAGCACAGTTTAGATGAAATAATTTATCTTTTTTTTTTTTACTGTTTGTGTTAATATCCTTCATCAAATAGATATCAAAGATTTATATAAATACATACATACATGCACACATGAATATGTTTGTATTTGGTTTTAACATTGAATGGCCACTTTTTAAGCTGTCTGCCTCCATGTTGAATGGAAGCTTCACTAAGGGTAGAGACCTTGACTGTGACTTGTTCTCAGTGTCTGGAACAGAGTGTGATCCATCATAGACACAATAAAAATATGTGGAATAAAAATAGGCGTCAAAGATCCTGCAGGTTAGTGAGCATAGGAGGCTGAGGGATGTTGTCGGTTGAATTATGTCCCCTGAAAAGATATATTGAAGTCCTAATTACCAGAACCTGTGAATGTGAACTTATTTGGAGACAGAAGGTTTGAAGATGAAACTAGTTAAATTAAAATGAGTTCGTCCTGGAGGATTGTGGGCCCTAAATCCAATATGATTGTTGTCCTTATAAGAAGAGGAGAGAGACACGCAGAGACACACACACAGAGGGGAGAAGGCAGTCTGAAGAAAGAGGCAGAAATCTGAGAGCTACAACTTCAAGCTAAGGAACACTAAGGTTTGCCAGTAACCACCAGAAGCTAGGAAGAGGCAAAGAAGGATGCTCTCCTAAAGCCTTCTGAGGGAGCCTGGCCCTCCGACAACTTGATTTTGGACTTCTAGTCTCCAGATTTGTGAGACGGTAAATTTTTATTGTTTTAAGGCATCCCATTTGGGGTAATTTGTTACTGTAGCCCTAGGACACTAATACAGGGAGTGACTGATGATGAAACAGATAATTCAGTGTAGTGTGAGAAGTGGCATTGTAGAAGTAAGGTGGGCTGAGGTGGACACCTAAGCCAGTATTAGGGATGGGATGGGGGACATATCCTGGAGGAGGTGATGCTTAAACTGAGTGCTGAAGGAAGAGTATCCAGGTGTGTAGAGTCTTAAGATATACAAATGCAAGCTCTGGCTCCAAGATACCCAGGAACAATGTTGCTGTTGTAAAAGGTGAGTCCTCAACATCTAGTTCTTCGGATTTGAACACTTAGTCTTGACCCTAATAATCCTACAGACTGTCAAGAGTTGCAAGAGAGTTTACAGAGAGTCTCATTCAACTACCACTCAAGGCTGAAATACTCTCCATGTTATCAGCCCTGGGTGCATTTAGCCTATAGTGGTGGAGAACTCAGCACCCTCTGAGAAAGCCTATTTCTTCTTTGGGGACCTCCAGCTGTGATAAAGTAGGCTGAAAAGAGTCATGTTCTTCATTCTAATCTTGGTCCATACAGAATAAGGTAAACCCTTCTTCCATACATAGCTCTTCAAATATCTGAAGATAACCCATCATTTCTCAACTGTCTTAATCAGTCTGGGCTGCTAGAACAAATACCATAGACGTGGTGGCTTAAACAACAAACATTTCTCCCAGTTCTGGAGGCTGGAAGTTTGAGATCAGGGTGCAAGTAAGGTCGGGTTCTCTGGGGGCCCTCATCCCAGCTTGCAGTTGGTTGTCTTCTCACTGTGTCTTCATGTGGCACAAAGAGAAATCATCTTTTCCACGTGTCTCTTCTTATAAGGGCACCAATCCCATTCATGAGGGCTTTGCCCTCATGACCTAACTACCTCCCCAAAGGCCCCATCTCCAAATACCATCGCACTGGGGATCAGGGCTTTTTTTTTTTTTTAGATTCCATATATATGTCTTAGCATACAGTATTTGTTTTTCTCTTTCTGACTTACTTCACTCTGTATGACAGCCTCTAGGTCCATCCACCTCACTGCAAATAACTCAATTTTGTTCCTTTTTATGGCTGAGTAATATTCCATTGTATATATGTGCCACATCTTCTTTATACATTCATCTGTCGACGGGCACTTAGGCTGCTTCCAGTGATGAGGGCTTTAACACATGAATTATGGGGGTGGGGTACAAACATTCCATCCATAACCCCAAACTGGAATTGTATCTTCTTCAGGCAAAATGTCCTCCAACCGTTCAGAAGTAGCACAGTATTTGAGAGTGAAGACTCTGGAACCAGAGTGTGTGTTTGAATCCCAGCTCTGCCTCTTGTTAGCTGTGTGATCTTGGGCACATGAAGATTAAATGTGATTTTATGTGTCAAGCACTTAGAATAGTTCCTGGCTTAGAGTAAGGAGGATGTAAGTATTAGCTATTATCACTCAGATGCATTTTTATGTCTCTTCAAATCTATGGTATATTCCTCTAAACATGTTTTCCTATTTAATAAGTTAACATTTTGTTTTTTTGTTAAATTTAATTTATTGACATATAGTTGATTTACAATGTTGTGTAAGTTTGTACTGTACAGCAAAGTGATTCATTTATGCATATATGTTTTTTTTATATTCTTTTCCATTATGGTTTATCACAGGATATTAAATATATTTCCCTGTGCTATACAGTAGGACCTTGCTGCTTATCCATTCTATATATAATAGTTTGCCTCTGCTAATCTCAAACTCCCTAATAAGTTAACAATGGCAAATGGCAGAAGGAAACTCGTGGGCATGCAGGGTCAGAGATGGGTGTAGGTCAGGGTACTGTGATTCTTATATGGGAAGGAAAGGAGTTACTGATTAACTGTAGAAGCACTTGTGTTTGGGCACATTTTCCCATGTTGCCAGGGCCCATGTTATCCACTGTTTCCCTCTGATTTCCAGCTCTGTCCATCTGGGTCTTTCCTCCGAGGCCTGTGCCAGGGCCCATTCCCTGTGGCTTCTGCCTCAGCCTCCTTCACTGGGTAAGCAGGGTGTGGCGGGATGGTAGCTGTCCTGGGTGCTGCCTGGGGAGATGTCCTGTTGCTCTCCTGCATCTTTTCCTCCCTACCTGCTCCCTTAAACTGCTCTGGCCAAGGCTGGGGCCAGGAGGAAGGCTTCTGTGAGATGCAGTGCATATGCCCAACCTGATGGACAGAAGTATCGGCACCTGTCAGCCATGCACTGGTTCATCAGCTGCTGTGGCTCTGCCCTGGCCTCTGCCTGAGGCATGACAGAACTCAGTCTGTGCCAACACAGCCCCTGCAGCATCTACCACCAGCAATGCCACCATCTACCACCACCAATGCCACCAACAGTCTTCTTATACCCCTTCTTCGTCTTCTGCCCAGTTTTAATTATTACTGTGGAATTGCCAGCACTGTACCTCCCACTCCAACCCAATTTTAATACCTGAAGACTCTACAAAGCTTTCATAATTACTAGCCTAGTTGATTTTATTTATTATTTGATGAAAAGAAGCCTCTTGTGTTTGTTTCTCCTGCATACTTTTGCCCTTTACCTGCTGTGGAAAGTAAACACTCTATTTCCATTCTTTATGGTTAGTCATAAAATTTTACCTGCATATTTAACAAAGATGACAAGCAGTATCTTTTTAAAATAATTTATTTATTTTAGGCTGCATTGGGTCTTCCTTGCTGTGTGCAGGCTTCCTCTAGTTGCGGAGAGCAGGGGCTACTCTTCACTGCAGTACACGAGCTTCTCATTGCAGTGGCTTCTTTTGTTGCGGAGCACGGGCTCTAGGCGCGCAGGCTTCAGTAGTTGCAGCACGCGGGCTCAGTAGTTGTGGCTTGCGGGCTCTGGAGTGCAGGCTCAGTAGTTGTCGCACACAGGCTTAGTTGCTCACGGTATGTGGGATCTTCCCAGATCAAACCCATGTCCCACTCATTGGCAGGTGGATTCCTAACCATTGCACCACCAGGGAAGTCCCTACAAACAGTATCTTAAACCTCCCACTGACAGACAAGATCCTTAGGACATTAACTCTTATTGCTCCTCTCCTAATTTACACGAGTATGTATTTTCTTGTATTTTAGCTTGTTTCTTTTTATTAAACCTCCACACATTAGACTTCATAATTATTTTCATCATTTTATCAAGTAAATCTGTATTAGATTTACTTACATGTTCATCATTTTCTTTGCTTATCTGTCCTCCAAAATTTTTTTCTAGATTCAAGTTTCCTTCTTCTGAAATAACCCTTTAGAAAATTCCTTCCCTGTAGGTGGTGTTAGTGGTAAACTGTTTCAGTTTTTTATTTATCTGAAAATATAATTTCTTTTCCCCTGTACTTAAAAGATATTTTGGGGTTCATAATTGTAACTTTACAGTTATTCTTTTGTCAGCACTTTAAAGATAGCACTCCATTGTCTTGTGGCTTCCATGACTGCTGTTGAGAAGTTTGCTATTAACCTTAAACTTATTCTTTGTAACAATCTTTCTTTCTTTTCTGACTACCTTTTTAATATACTCCCTTTGTCTTTATGGTTTTTCAAGTCCATCTTATTTTACCTTGGGGTAGATTTTTTAAATATATTCTGCTTGTATAGGGTGTGCTTCATATGGCTGGGGGTACATGTCTTTCAGAAAAGTTTCAACTATCCTCTACTTAAATATTGCCTTGCCTGTATTATCTGTATTCTCTCCTTCTGGGTCTTCGATGTATGTTAAATCTTTTACTTTTATCCCCTATATATTCTTAACTTTTTGTTACTTCCTCTATATCCATGATTCTATGTTCTATATTTTGGGATAGATGGGTATAGATTTCTTCAGCTCTACATCCAGTTCACTAATTCCTTCTTCAACTGTAGCTAATTTACTGTTTAACACAAACATTGAAATTTTTTTGTATCAATGATTAGATATTTTTTCATTTCTAGAAGTTCCATTGATTTTTAAAAAATTTTGC